AAGGTCGATGTACAGAGTTGCTGCTATTATAATTGTGATTGTAGTTATTCTAATGTTAGCTCTTATGTTATGTGTTTAGGATTGATAGTGTACTTTCTTATTTCCTGGGTTTAGGCTACATATTTTTTGTTGATGTAAAATTTTGTTCATGGAATATATTGAAAAAGGTTTCATTACAGCAACAAGTATAGGAACTACTAATATCATGGCATGTTATAGGCAGTAAATAAAACATCCAAAATAAGGAAGTTGCTTCACAAAATATTATCTATGATAGGCAGTCAACAAAAAACATACATAATGAAATAGCTTTACAAAATATTGTCTACCACGGGAAGTGTACAAAAACATCCATGATTAAGTCTTTAAAATATTAGTTGAGCACTTCAATTAATGTCTGTTGTGGCTTGGTTGCTTGATGTGGATTGTGTCATTAGTGTGGCTTGAGTGGTTGTAGCAGAGTTTGCCCTTCTATAACTCTGCTCTTGCAGATGCCTTTGTGTAACTACAACTCCACCCTTCCACTTTAGCCCAGGGGGTTTAAACCTAAGTTCAACGTTGGTAGGGGCATAACTTATGAGTGTAGAAGGATTGTGTACTACTCTGTCAGTAGTTTCAGGTGAGGGATTATCTAGTAAACCATATATGTTGATTGTGTAATTAAATGGAAATATGTAACCTCTGTATCATAGTGCCACTTGAATCAAATAGCACACCATATCCTGCTGCCTTTGATCTATTAGACCCTGCATTTGCACCACCTCTTCTAGGCTCATTGGTATTCCTTTTTGGACCTCCAACAATATTAGTTAATTGTTGTGTGCTTGGATCAGTGATTGGTTGAGTGAAAGTGCCACTTTCCATATTGAAGTTATTGTTGCTGATCCATCTGTTGCTACTGATGCACTTCCAGCTGCTGATGCTGATGCACTTCCATTAGTTCCAGCCTTTCCACCTGATGTTATTGATGAAGCATTTTCAGCAGTTTCACCTCCAACCGAACTAGTTCCAGCCCTTCCTCCTTGGTTTCTCTGTATACACATAACAAAACAAACACTAGTAATTGAATTTATCTGATAATGACCACAAAAAATATTAATACTTACTGCCAATGGACATCCTTTCTTGTTATGTCCAAGAGTCTTGCACAAAGAGCATCTCATTTGTCTCCTTATCCTTGTACCCTTCCCAATCTTCTTCTTTGGTTCATCAGCAGCTTTTCTCTTTTTTTTTTCTTTGGCCTTCCTGGCATTGCAGTTATAACATGTGGCTCAATAGCTGGCAGTGTGCTTTTTGGCCATAAATTCATACTAGTTAAAGGTTGAATGAATCTGATGTATGCCTTAAGGTAGGTGTCCTTCCTATACCAATGGTCAACATATGGATCAACCTCATAGTTCTTATAATGCATTGTTGTTATAGCATGTGCACATGGAATTCCTTTGAGTTGCCATGATCTACAAGTACAAGAACACCTCTTAAAGTCAACAACATGTTTATATGGCCCATCCTGGATCTCATACCCTGTTTCACCATTAAAGTTGACTTCATATTTGGCTGCCCTTTGAGCATTCTCTCCAAGTATTTTCATAGCCATGGGTGATATATCACCTACCCATTTTCCAGAAAACTCTCTCATGCTATTCATCCTCTACATACACTTGATTCTAATTTCCTCTAACATAAAAATGATAGATTTGTGCCTAGCTGCCAATATCCAACTATTGAATGTCTCACAAATGTTGTTCTCCACTACATCACACTTACTATGTTCTTTGAAGTATGCCCTACAACATGTCTCCGTATTGTATTTCAGAAAGTCTTGAACAATATCTCCCCCCAGCTGGTCCATTTCATCCAACTTCTTGCTAAAGTAAACTTCAAATGTAGCTCGTGCACACTGCCAGAATTTTTTTCTTCTTTCCTCACCAGGCCAAGTTTGCTTTCAATTAACCCAGATATGTCTAGCACACCACCTCATCTCAGCATTTGGCAATAACTGAGTTATGGCTAGATGAAAACCCTACAATCAATAACATTATATTGTTATAACTTAAACATAAATGAAAACAATTACACTTTAAAGACAAAGTGTTAGAAACCATACCTTCTGCATATCAGACAAGATTGTCAGCCCTTCTCCTTCAGATTCTGTCAAGTTCAGATCATGCTTGAGACATCTGATAAACCAAAACCATGTATCCTTTGATTCCTTTTCAACTACTGCCTAAGCCATATGGTACATTTGATTATTTCCATCCTTGAAAATGCAGAAAAGCAGTTCACCTTTACATGTTCCCTTTAGGAATGCACCATCAAAGCAAATTATGTTTCTGCACCCTTCTAAGCATCCAGTTTTTAATGCTTCAAGACAGACATAAATGGCCATAAACACCTCCTTGCCAGGTTCTGCATTTTTAGATATCTTTATCACTACAGTAGTTCCAGGATTAGTAGACTTTAGCATTTCTGCATAATTATGAAGCCTAGCAAATTCTTTCTTATAATCACCCATATTCTCCTTCATAACTATCATTTTTGCTCTTCTGCAGGAAGTTTTACTCACATACAGACCATATGCTTTTCTAATTAAGGCTTGAATTTGATGAAACTTAATTTGAGGCTCATTAATTATTCTGTCTTTGAAGTTCTTTGCAATCCATGGTGGGTTACACATCTTGTTCCTCGTCTTCTTGAAGCATTTGTGGACAGGGTAGTATGTAATCACCTTAAAATTCCTAGTGCTACCTTCTATGCTACCAAGAATATGCCATGGATTTCTTTGTGCAGTTTGCCCTAACCCTTTCCCTCTCATTAGGTTTCAACTTAAGGTTCACACCTTTTTGAATAGAATAGGTCTACAATGCCTCCCTAAACTATACAACATTCTCAAATATCATATACAGTTCAAATAATATTTTTTTGCAACCTGTGTCAAAGTAGACCTTCTTACTTGGATTCCTAGCTGGTGCATCACTTACTTCATCAGTGATAACAAGTTCTCTTTCATCATCATTACACTCACTACCTGGATCTGAGCTATTAAAATATTGGTCATCCCCTCCTAGTATCCCTTCATATTTTCCCCTTTTGTTCTTATGCATATCTTCAAAACCAGAATCTATACCAACTGTACCAGATGGTATCTCATCTATACTTACTTGGGCATCCTTCTTTTTGTTGATTTTAGACTGTCTAATTTCAGCTAAGTCGTCTTCCAAATCACTACACTCTTCAATGTTCTTATCTATCTCAAACAGTGAGTCAGACCCTTCAGAATCATCAAAGTCCTCATCAAAATGAGATTCTGATGTTTGAAGGTGATAGGATGAGAAGTTATTACCTTCACCTTCATCTAATTCTTCTATCTCTCCATTTATATCTGTCTTTTTTACCCTTATCTTTGTCATTTTCAGTCCTATTTATATCATTGTTGGGAGATGACACATCAGCCCTAACATTTAACCCACTGCCATGCCCATGTGTTTGTATAGTGGGGTCTAGTTCAGTTATGTCCTCAACAAGAATAGGATCACTAATTTTATGGACAATACAAACATCAACAAAGTCACCACCTTTCAATGTATTAAGAAACTTTAACACATCAACATCTGTTTTTAAAATGTAATAATCACCCATTTTGTTAACTTTGCATCCAAACAAATCAACTTCTAAAAATCCTAAGTCCCTGGCAAACTTGTGAAACAACATAATATGCAGCTCATCAACATCAACTGTAGCTAATTGAGGACAAGGTAGTCCATTTACATACCTTAGGTCAGGGTCCGATATAAAATTACCACTGTGGTAGATTTGTAAATTAACTAGGCTTGAAGCCATTTTCTTCTCATACCTGCAAAGTAACAAAAAAAATAATGTTATCAATGACTATTTGTTATCAAAAGTTGCAACTTTACACAACTCCATAAACAAACCAACAAAAAAGACATATTTTTTTAACCAAAAAAACTTTCAAGATTCCTTTTTCGTCCCCACAATACCCTATAATATTCAAAAATACTCTGGTGAACCACTAACAAGAAGGAGACCCAACAAACTTCACAAAAAAAAATGCATAAACCTAAGATGGAATTCTGCTTTGACCAAAAAAAAAAACCAAAAACTAAACGGAATAACCAAATATGCCATTACATGCATGACACTACATTAAAAAGGGTTTTCACTCCAATATATAACGAAACACAGCAAAAGCCCCATATATTGAGAAAAATTAAACAACAATTATAACCTAACCCAGCCTTCCCCTAAAAATCCTAAACAGAGCAAAAGCCCCATATATTGAGAAAAATAAAGATCAATAAAGACAAAATATGAAGAACATGTGAAGAAACTTACCCCACAAACTTCGATATCAACTGCGATGATGAAAATTCTGGCAATAATGACGGAGAAGAGAGGAGAGACTCACTGTTGTTCGATACTTTCTAAGCCCTAACTACGCGGGTAATTGTAAAATGAGGGGAAAATTTGGGTTGGGGGGGGNAATTCCGGCAACGATGACGGAGAAGAGAGGAGAGACTCACTGTTGTTCGATACTTTCTAAGCCCTAACTATGCGGGTAATTGTAAAATAAGGGAAAAATTTGGGTTTGGGGGGTAAATAATCCTTTCCCGTTTTATTTTCCTATGTGACCATAATAAGTGACTTGGAGCCTACGTGGTTTAATTTTATTGACGTGGCGTCGAACGTGTAGGCGTTTGTATTACACACACTGACAGCCTCTTGTCATAAGCGTTTATTATTCACGGTTTGAATGAGTGTAAGTGTTCAATTGTCAAACTTCTAAGTTTGGGGACCGACATGACAAAGTGGCACAAGTATATGTGTCATTTAGGCCATTCTGATAGGTATAATATGATAATTGTTTAAAATAATCTTATTTAAGATGGGAGGAGCTCCTATCCTAAATCAAGCCTGCATAGTTTTTTCATACTTAGCAAGGTAATAACTTGAAGAACATCTACAAGCAAATTTCTAAATTGAACTGAAAATGCACTGATATATACAACATGAAACTGGGAAAACCCAAATGTTACAAGTGTATTACATTCTTAAGATGCCCTGATTTTATATGCCTGAAAGAATAATTATAGACAGCAGAGGTGCAAGACAAAGCCTAAAACTGCTTACAATATTAAGCCAACCTCCATGTAAACCTATTTGCATCTGGGTTCATAGGGTGATACAAAATAAAGCTAAGTATCTTCTCTATTCTTTTGTGCCAGTTAGGTTAGGAATTGCAGCAGCATCGCCTCGTAGATCACATAAGGAGAACGACCTCCATGTACTGAACTTCTGTTCTGAAAGGGGCAATGATGCCCCATTGCTATATCTTCTCAATTGTGGAGGCAGAGGAGGAAGAGAGAGACGAGGTGATGATGGGCTTGAGTTCAATGACTCGGAGCTATTATTGCTTCCGGAGCAGCTCCTAGTTGCAGCAAGAGCTAATGAGCTTCTAGAGTTGGTTGGTCGCTTGTATATCCTACCAGTATTACTTCTTGGGAAGTGATTACAGTTTTTGTTGAAGAAATTATTGTGAGCGAGCAGGTTCTTGCGTTTCCTCGTGTATGCATCATCTTGCTTTACAATATCTTTAAGGGAGGAACATGATGCAACATCTGCTAGACTGGTAAAAGACTTTGATTTGCCAGCGTAAAACTGAGATATGCTTCTCCTGAAACATAGCAGACGAGCAATGTTAGTGCTTTCAAGGTAACAAGACGAACAGATTGGTCATCAAGTTCAACAAACAGCAAAAGAATTTCCCATTTCCACTACCATACTCTTTCTTTTTCCTCCTCAAGAACCATATTCTAAGAGATTAGAGAATACTAAAATATTGATTTGAGAAAATTAGTTCCAGTAAATGTTAAAATTTAGATGAATCCACGACGAATACATTTCTAATATTAATAATCATAGTTAAACCAAGACACACTATTGAATAAGCTAAAGATAAAAGCTCAAAGGAGCATATCAGGATAACAAAGGCACATTCACTTTCGGTAAGATAGTGGTCCCAAGAAACACTAACAGCTTTTGATGCATATTGCTATCTGCATCACTGCATGCACCGGTGATAGGACCATCATCCAAAGAAGAAGATTCTCAAGAATATTTCAATCATAAGCCCCTTAATACCTATGAAAGAAAAGAAACGATTTTGATATCTAAAGTCTTTTTCATTGACAGGTAAGGCAAATATTTTACATGTAGCAGCATATCCGGTATATGTTAACGCTGTAACACACAACACAAGAAGAATTATGAAGATAGGTTAACATGTCCATCACACGTAGTTGGACAACCAGTCAACCACACAATATAAGGCTGCAATCATAGTTCAGCATCATGCCGTGACACTTGTATAAGCTTGTTTTAGCTCCAGAAATTAAGTTCTCTAAGTACAAGCTTGCTCAGGAACTACCTTGTAATTCTAAGGGCACCAGAGCTACAGTCCAACTGGATTCTAATGGAGTAAATTTTGAAGATTTCTCTTTTACTGCTCAAATTTAACAACAGTTCAGATAAATAAATAAAACCACACCTCAGGATAGAGTAGCTGGGGTATCCAAATCCTTAACCATAATGAGGCCTAGTGATGTAACTCACTTCCTAAAACTGCAACAAGCCCAAGCTAACTTCCTAATTACTCCCTAATCATTTATAATTAACACATATTAAAATCCTCCAAGTCTGCAGAAAGATTCACATGATATTGATTGTAAATAGTCATAGATGAACCTTGAACATAATTCATTTCCCCATTGTACCAGATTAAGCAGCAAAA